AGTGGATGTCATTGGAAAGTGAGCCGGATTCTGTAAAAGCACGGGGTGGACATTTCATGTTTCCACGAATTTGGAGGCCATTTTGTGCATAAAGGTGTGCACTACAGACAGACAGACTACAGACTACTTAGGGCATAGGTAGATGTAGAAAGAAAAAGAATAAGTGGTTTTGCTTCATGTAAGGAAGAGTGTAAAATTTAGGAGAGATTAGTTGCTTATTAAATGAAATGCTTATCACCACTGCTAATACCCTAGAACAAAGCTAAGTATGCTTGATAGTTGGAGCTAATTCAAATTAGAGAAGCAGGGTCAGGAGTTATACATTAACAGAAATAATGAAGGTAAAATTTTGAAGAAAAGAGCAGCTAGTGTTATCTGAATCAGTTATGCATTGGGAAATGTAACACGAAGGAAGAAAGGAGTAAGAGAAGCGACACCTCTAGCTGACTTGGAAAAAGGCATCAATGAGAGCCGTAGACATTTTCCTGTCCTCACCGCTAATGCCATAGATGGCTCAAATGACAGTTTACCAGTGATCGTGATTTGCTCACCAAGGTGACGAAACCTATGTGTCCATTAATTGAGCAGCATTTTTGGAACCTGTTCATGAAACGCATATGAGAGAAAGCATAATACAATGACGCGATGAAGGCATTTTGTACAAAATGATCTATATACGGGTAAGCTGCAGTCAGTGGATTCATGTAGAGGAAGTATAACCAATAATGTCATGAAGTTACCGAGCTCAAATTAGAGGATCATCAGAGGGAGGATGGCATCCCATTAACATGTGGAAATGGTGAGAGCAAACTTCTATTCATTCTCCCCAAGGAGTGTAGGCAATTCGTCCATGTGCCTGACTGCAGGTGTCCTACAAACACTATCATGGAACAGAAGAATAGGATTGGTGAAATCAGAGTTTGCAAAAAGCTTTTCGATTTTGTGGGGAGTCGATCTGGCTTTAGCTAACTCCACAGAATTCGGTGACACCGTCACCAACTGGCGAATGTCATCTTCACTAAGTTTATAATGAAGTTTGCAGTCCACTAGGGACATTTCCTTGCCGTATGCAACCTTGAGAAGCAAGGGATCACGCCGATCCCCCACGAAGTTATTCGAGGCCTTGCGAAGTGTCAGTTGGGAAGGAAGATAAGGTGGTTGTACGGTACAAGAAGCCACCTTATTCCAATCAACACTAAGGTAAAACCTAAGACTCTTGACTGCTACGGTGTGCGGAAGCGCGTTATAATTGAGTTTGAGGCAGGACTTGAAAAAATCCGGAAGAAACTTCGAGAGGTTATTCACGTTTCTTATCCTATAGCGAACTAATCTCGCCCACCTCATATCCTCGGTTCCATCGCTGTCACCTGGTCAAAGTGGTCCAGTCAACATTTCGGCCTCTTGATTTAAAGGTTGCCCCCGTGTTCACTAAATAACATCAAATGTGCAAATAAATGCAATTCTTGGGTTATGAGGTTGACCTTATTTGTAGTTAACTTGTGAAGGTCAGGCCAAACGCTAAAAGTGAATACTTAAGGTTCTGCTTAAACTGCTTTTATAAAATTTCGTGCAGATCGGATTTGAAACAAAAGCAAAACTACCTTAGAAAGCAATGTTTGATTTTGACTCACCAAATTTAGTCATGCCTAGAATTAAAGCGCAAAAATGAATGAGTAATGCGAGTCGGGCTTATACATTTGCAAAACGGCATGGATATAACGCTTTAGAGTTAAATGATTCAGAAGTCATTTGTCAAACGCTCTTACCTTAAAAGGAGAGATACTGAAGTGATTTGCAAACAGCAATGACTCCTAACCGCTAGCACATTCCTAAATAAGTAATCCGAAAGCTAAACTGCTCAAATTCCAAAAAATTTTATGCCTGATATTCTGAGGAAGCATGCATAATAGGATGAAACCAAGGCCCATTAATAAAATCTATCGCCGTGAGGAAATCGGTTCATGTCTTGTCAAGTTCGACTAGATTACAGGAGACATCCTGTAATGTATAGAGCAGTTCCATTCGCTTTCATGTCTTACAAGCGGTTCGCTGAGGGTGAGAAACGTGTTGGTCCACATAAATTAAATAAAACCGATCGTTTGGAAAGGCTTGTTTTAGCAAGATTTTAATTTCCAGTTAATTTCCTAGCGTAAATATTTATAATACAACAGATAGAATACGGTTGAAAACACTCAAAAGCCAACCTTATGACTAATTTAAATCATGATTTTCAGATTGTATGTAGTGTAATGTCATGTTTGAGATAAATTTAGTGCATGTAATGGGCACGATTCTATCAGTCGAGGCGTCATCACAATTCTCTGTCATGTATTCCCCTTGATAATGACTATCTCATAATCCAAAGGTCGTGTAGAAAGCGGTATACAAAGGAACTGCTTTACCAGTGCATAGCTAGCATGCCTTCTTTCTGGTAGTGCTAGGATCAGTTTAGAGCAGAGCACTCGCTTCAGTTCTTTACACGATTTATCATGCTCTTTACTCCGGTTGAAATTCTTTTTTACCTGCTTTTAATTCAGTTTATGCAAAAGGCTTGTGATCTTTGCAGAACCTTTAACCAAATGCCCATTGTAACCTCGCAGATCTAGGGAACTGCGAAGTCCCGTCTGATGAGACTCTATAACCCAGAAAATTGACCGAACGTTGCAAGAAGTGGCATTGCTTTGTATTCAGAGTGAGACCTGTGTCTCGTAGACAGTTCGAAATCAATCTTAGCTTGGCGTTATGGGGTTTATTGTCTGAACCGAGGACAGGAATATCACACAAGTGTATTGTGAAAGGTTTTGCGAATAATCCAAATATTGTGGTTTTTACAAGGAGTTAGGAAGTGGTGGCTAAATTAGATGTCCTAACAGTGTTGTTTGGAATCCATAAAGCCTGTTCAACGGTGATACCAAATGATTTCCTTCTACCCGCTTTCCCCTCTACTACTTGTCAGTATCCTGATTTTAAGGCTGTCGTACATACCACCTTAACACACGTGGAAAGTCTAATAAAATCATATATTAGGTAAATCGTTCAGCTTCCTAAAGACGGTCCACAGACGAAGACCTTCGTTCTAATTAAAAAGAGTGGTATATGTGGCCCAAGGTGATTTTGATGGCATTATGACCTCGTGTCTAATCACCACTTCCACAAGACAGTTTACCTCTTTTGTCAAAGCAGGAGGTATGCATCTTGGCAGCGGTATGCTTGGCTCAGCCTTACAGGTGCCTATCGCAAGCTCAACCGAGTTTGTTCTTTCCAAATTACCACCGTGCCATGCAATTGCATCCATGTACTTTACCACTGTCTCACAAAGTTATTTTCCCTCGTAGTCAGTGACATGAGTAAGTTGTAAGGCGAAACAATCTAGGATATTCATGTGTAAACCCTAGGATGGGTTAAGTCCAACCCAGTAAACCGCCTCCATGGACTATGCCTCAGGACAATTCTGGATACATTAGATGGTTCAATATTTAGGTTTCTCGGTATATATTGACATATAACGACGTCTCACAGTCAACTACCACCTCATTTTCTTCTGCTGAAAGTAATCTGCTGGCCTGTAGATCACACTTAATCTCTTGATAAAGCATGGTGAAAACCTTCAAATTTAGTGTTAATTTGGTCATGCTAGAGTTGAAGGCTACTGTACCGAGAGACATTTGCATCAGTTGTTTTCATGATTATGATCAGGTATTAATGTTAGGATATATGATGACAGAGCCACAAGGCAAAGTAAATGCTTTGGTAAGGGAGTGGGTAAAGTAATGGTATATTCTAACTTCAATGTTCAGAGCTGATCTAACTGTGTCTGTCTCTGTTTTTCACTTTCGTCAGTTATTAAAGTCCCCAATAGACCCTTACAGCTATTCACGGCTCAAAACTGGACTGTTGCGAGCGGCAACGTGCAGCGAATTAATTACCGCCCTGCATTCCATACTACGCAGTTGCTAGAAGTCGCATGTACATCTCCACCAACAGAACCAGCATAGATTTTAATCTTTAAAATGATTAGGCAACAGGACATTGAGAACGGGATGCTAATGCTCTCCTACATGCTGGGTTATGTAATAGTACACGCTGATGGCAATCTTATGCTTAAAAAAGGCTATTGACAACCGCCTTTCACCGACTTTGCTAAGCGGAAAATTTTTATATTTGTATTGACTAGCTTTATTTTCCTAAAAAACACTTGTTTTGATCCAAGAAAGCGTTTTTAAAAGGTTAACTTGCAGAAAGTCCTTAGTTTCATTTATTGATAGAAGCCGTATTGCTTCCGATGCTTCCCTTTTAAACATCTGTATGACAGTGAATAGGTACGTAGCGTGTATGTGCAGTAATTTCAGATGGCCATGCTTCTCCATGAAGTAGGCAGTAGGCAGTGTGGAGGAGAACTGCTGATTGGCGTGGGGTAATGCGGATTAAGCAGAGGAGTTGGTTGTGCTCAGTGGCCATGTGAAGCAGGTCTACAGTGAATGCAGAGAGGAAAGCTTGAGACAGTTTCTTGCCTTGTACTAATGTGCGTAATGGTCGTAGAATAAGTCTGTGAAATCAATTTTGCCATTTTATAAGTGTTGGCTTGAATGCGTTTATGGCTCGATTGTTAGTATTAAGAATGTTTAATTAGGTCAAATAGGCTCAGTTCTGGCCACTTTTATTTTGTAGTTAACCTAGATTTTACCCCTACGGTTGAACTTCATACAACTTGGATCATTGTAAATATAGTGGTAATGCAAGAGAATAATTGTATTTTGAATTGCATATTCCCATCTGCAATGCAATGCATCGGTGTCTTTAGTTTATAAACATAGAAGAGAAAAAACATTGTTTTTTTCAGTTTGCATTTATTATTAAACAGAAAAGTTAAAAATGTGGTTGATGTGCTGGTTGCCCTGCATATTATTTTTGACAATTGCTATCGTGTAAAAAAAGCAACACAAAATTTATGCTAAATTTACCATGTGTGTTATTTAAAATTTTAAATTAAAAAAAGGTTTAAAATTACTTAAACTGCTTCTTGCAGAAAAATAGTACAAATTTTTGTTTGAATGCGTTGACTAACAGAACATCATTTTGAGTGCTGCAGATAAACTGTAGGACTCAAGCTTAAGGGTAGGTGACATTCTCGTAGTACGGATTTTAGCATAGACAGTGCATTGCCGAGGTTAATGACAAGCATTTATGTGAGGGCAAATTCACCATTTGTTTGGCCATTTCCTAAATATTGTCTTTTTTAATGTAGAGCATTGGGACTTTCGAGTCTCAGTATGTTGGTTTAGGCCGGCTTTTTTAAACCAGCTGTGCCACATCTTTCATGCTATGAAGAATTTACGTAGCACTAATGTGAAATCCTTGTAATGTTTGGGTGGAGGATCCTCTAAGGTGTGTCATCACGTTAGTGAAAAGTTTCCAGACGTCTAACGTTGGCACACTTGTAATTGAAAACTGGATTGATTATCTTCTAAAGAAATTGTTTCCTTGAGAGTCTGAATTTAATAAATGCAGAACTTTAGGGCCTTGTCAATCGCAAAACGCGACTCGGAAAAGTCTGCTTAGAACGGGTAATCGCAGTAGTGCGATTAATCATATTTATGAGTAGCTGTGGCTGTGAGGTTGCTTTGTTGGTGCATTTAGACAATTGCCTTCGTGGATTGCCAGCGGCCTACTTGTGCAGGATGAAGAAACTAAGGAGTATTCAACTGAAGGACAGTAGACTGTGATATCCATCCTCTGGTGTCTGCCAATTTTGGGAGCTGAGGGCACTAAGTATTTATAGCAATTCTTGGCTTGCACTTTTCCCCCCAACAAGGAAGGGCTGGATTCCCAAAATCTTCGTCCGGTTCTAGGTCATCATTACCATACACCGTGGTCTTGATTTCCGGCCCTACTGAGGACAGCACTGGTGTCTATTGATGCGGTTGGTCAAAAGAGGTTATTGGAGGACCGCGTTCCCCGTTACTTCAAGGCGATGAGAGTGGTTTCTTTTTGGAGACGTAGGCCGCTGAGTTTGGCTTGTTCCACAAGAGAAGTGAAATAACACACTCAGTTCAGAGGCTTGGGTGGCTGCATGTGGCTGAGTCTGTGGCATTCAACAACTAGAGGGTGGTGTAATTCCGTTGAGCTTGCATGCGATTGCGAGGTGATGAAGTTGTCGGCGTTTGTTTTTAATCGAGCGTGAGTTAATGGCGACGGGTGCATTCTCATTTCGCAGGGGTTGGCTGGTAAAAACTTTAAGGTATGCTGATGTCTAATTGGTCAATGAGTATTAACGTCGATCGCTCCCGTTCAGAATACCCGGTAATAGATGTCAACAAGCTGCTGGCAACGCCATTCTATGAACTCTCTTCGCTTTGATGCTAATGAGATGTACAAAGTGGTCGGGCTGCTGCCTAGCTAAAGAACGTGTGCTACAGTGTGGCAAGTGGTTGCAGTGAGCCACGTGGTGCTATTATGTTTCGTTCAATTGGTTCATTGATTGTGTCCACAAGAAGAGAAGAGGACAGTGAGCAGCAGAAGCGAAAGGAGGTAAATCACGGACCAACGCAAAGATGAGGTCGGGACGGGCCGGTCTGCAGATCCCTGTGTGTCGTGTACGCCGCCTGTTGCGTCGTGCTAACTACGTGAGGCGCGTGAGTGCTGGAGCACTGGCCTACTTGGCTGTTGTGCTCGAGTACCTGGCTGCCGAAGTGCCGGAGTTTGCGGGTAGTGCTGCACGCGACAACAAGAAGACGCGTATCATCCCTCGTCACCTGTATTTGGCTATCCACAATGACGAGGAGTTGAACAAGCTGTTGAGCTGTGTGACCGCACAGGGTGGTGTGCTGTCCAATGTTCAGGCGGTGCTACTGTTAAAGAAGACGGAGAAAACAGTGGCCATCAAGGGGTAGTCTAACCTGACCGATTGACTGACAGACTCACTGAGTCTGCAACCGCGAACGTGATAACGGTCCTCTTGAGGGCCACCCCCACCACCGCAAAGATGATTGTTGACCAGTTGACGTGGGCTTGGACTGACGACTGACTGATTGATTAATTGACCGGCTGAAAGTTGCGAGTTAGCGGTTTGCGTTACTGCCTTGGATATAGGCGCTGCAGATTTGCAATGATTCTGTGTCACCCAGATTTACGATTGTGGTTTGGGCGGAGTGTGGTGTTTACGTTTGGTATCCTTCACGCGGTTACACGTCATATCGGTCCACTGGTGGTAGGGTAGATGGTCATGGCGCGAGAATATTGCACAGCGCTCTGCTTATATTTGTAAGTGAAACTGGTAGCTAGGTCTGCCTATGGCGATATGGGTCCACGCAATCTGTGCGAGAGGTAGGTATAGTGGAGTAGGTGCGCAAGATTGTGCAGATGAAAGAGGAATGGATATTGCAGATGACCAACTGTCATGCGAAACGGACAGTTAGAAAGCAGGCAATTGAGTAGGAGAGGAGGAAGTGAAGAATGGAATGAGCATATCACTAACTGGTTCTTTGAAGAGGCGTGTTGGAGAGTTGACCTATCCCAGTCACCAAAGCAGGATGCAGATGTTGAGGCCCAGTTGGCATTGCCGCTTCCACTATCACGGTTGCTCCCTTCACTCTCCCGTTGGATGGGATGGATGATTCCCGATCCCCTCTATTTGTTCGCCACTGGAAACGATATGCCTGTGGACGCTCGCCTAAGTGACCTTCCTCAAGGCCAATAAGTCTTATTCTTCCGCCTTTTCTTCACACTGCAATCCATGCTTCCATCGCTTTTACACAAAAAGTTTATTAGTGCTACCTTACTGTTTGTAGCCTACTACACCACTGCATACACTACGCAATCCCATCACACAAAGCATGGTGCATTACAAATGTAGGTGAAATTATCACCTGATGCGTTCCATTTGGACTAGACAAATCAAAATAGGGATTTAATTGAGACCACCTTGTTTGTTTCGGTCCACTCGCTTCCTGCTCTTGCCCCTCCCAGTCCATACTTGATACTCGTTGGGGCTGCTCCATCACAAATTTCCCCCATGCTTCATCAACCTCGGCATCCCCTGTAGCCCCACCCACATGAATTGACACCGTAAATTATGAAATGACAACCCAAGCGACACCCAATCACCTTCGAGTTAGTGGTATTAGGCGACAGAACACGTATGCGTGAAGAACACATGGATATCGTGACTCCACCCAGCAGGATTCAGGGTCCATCAACGCTGACCGCTTTTTTCGGCACCCACATAGCTCTACGACCCTCCTGTACATTCATTCATTCGTTCACATTCGCACGCCTCCAACTCACCAACAATGAACACTCGTATCGCCTCATCTCTTCTTCGACGCCTTCTTGTGAGAGCACCAAAAGCACTGCAACCACTCAACCCAGCGCAAAGCTTACTTCTCTTCCTTCATTGTTGACCTAACCATTACATCATCGCAGTTGCCATTACCGTAACCACACGCATCATCACATCCCTTCCTCTCCCCTCACCTAGACCTAGACCTGGATCACTGTCCACGCCAACCCTAGCGTCTGGCCAGTAGCGCGGCAATGAGACTGGAGGAGGAACAAGGCAGAGAGACGGAGAGTGGTAAAAGTGTAAGTCTCACCCACAACAACCAAGAATTAGCGTGATGATGGTGGCCCTCAACAGAGCTACAGGAGCAGCACAGTTTATCAAGGTTTATAGGGAACCAGAGTCTGTTTACGCCGCAGAGGTTGGTGGTGTCCGATCAGGCACGAGTTTAATAAAAACTGATGGCCTATCCCCCAAAAGACATCTTCAACCAAACGGATATTTCATAACAATTAGGTAGTGAAACAGTTTTCTCCTTCGAAAAGGGAACGCAAACGGTCAGAAGGGCTTTAAGCTAATTTATGAAGTGACTTTGCATAAACAAAAAAGAAAAACAACCGCAAAACGCTTCATTTTGAAGACCATAAATGGTAAATACAGAGCAGCAAGTAAGGTGAACTCGCCTATTTTCTGCTTTCATGCCCTCTAAAACTTAAAATATCAGACTTCAATTTTAGAAGTGTGGGAATGCTATTTGTTGAGGTTGGTGACAAGGTTCGTGTTGACCACACCAAGTACGTTACTCCCTCCACGCCTCTACCATCGTGATAGATTTTGGACAGATACGCCTGAACAGCTCTGAGGCAAGAACTATGTTTCAGGGAGCGGTGGGCGAAACTGTACCTTTACAGAACAATGGTAAATTTTGCCCTTCGTTATTGAACTCGGCTTTTAAGCCAGTATTCCTGCGATCAGCCATGGTCATGCGCGATGGCTACCACATTCCCCATGCCCACTTAGTTTGTGTGAACAGCGCTGTTCAACCCGCTTGGTTCTACCTTCCTGAATACCTTGGTAACCACTGATTCCAACACTGGCCAGTGCATTCATCTCGTTACCTCAGCCAACTATTGCTGTATAAAGAGACTCTAAGCACAACAATCGGTTTAATTCATCTAGTTGCATGAGAACAAAACGACGTTGCCGTAGGATTGCGAAGCAGGTGTCGATTCAATGCGAGTTTTGAAATTTCTTGTCTCAAGTTTGGGAACTTTGACTCACCTTGTTCATACGTCGTGAGTATTTACTACTTCTGTCCACATCTCGTGGGGAAGATACGCAAACATCCAATACAGTGAGTCCACCTGTCTGTCCTCACTTTTTTTACCACAAGGCTGTTTACATGTCAATGGGTTGAAATTTAACGAAAAGCCGGCGTTGGGAGCCAAAAGGTAGTAAAAACATGTCCTTTTGGCGGCATTTTAGAAAGACGTGACGCTGTTCAAACAAACAACTCCAAACCACTCGCGACCAAACCATGCCAACACGAGAACGAGAGGAGTCTAAACTAGTGTCTGTTTAGATATACAAAGTCTACCAAATCTTGTTAAGTCATTCCAAAATGTACCTCATCTCCAACTGGGGTTATCACTTCTGAATTCCACCGCAGTCTGAAAAAAACCAAGTGCCCACTCTTCAAGTTTTAATTGTGCCTCCAGATTGCTGGTCCACTTTTTCGGTTACTTCCATGCATCCTTTGCCACCCTTCGCATGCCTTAGCAAATATCTCTTTACATTCCATTCCCTCTACAAAACAAATGCTTATTTTTCTATTTTATCGAACAAAAATGTTTTAGGTCGTTTTGGACGGCAATGTTGACTAACTGTTAACAGGTTGCATATCTTACGGGTCTATTTGGAGAGATGGATAAACGGAGGCGAGAACGAATGCGTGTACTGAGAGATAAGTGCTCGAGGGACGCATTGGCTGAGCCCATATTCAGCATCTAAATTCACGGCATGCAATCAGAACGGGTAAACGCAACTGCCATTTGAATCAAATCCGTATTTACGTTACGTTACCAGGAGAAAATCCAAACTGCTAGAACTAGGCTAGGATTCAAATGAAACACCAATTTTAAGTGGTGCACTAAAAAGCTGTTTATTAGTAGAAAACATTCTATGCCTCTTTAGAAGTAAAAGGCCAAAGGTGAGGGAAAAGTCAATCGTCCACAAAGGAGTGAATATAACTCTGTAAGGAAATAAAAAACAAATTAAGTTGTAACAGTCAAGCAGTTGGTACTAATATGTCAGATATTTTACAAGTTAAAAGCTTTACCTCAAACAGAGCTGCCTTGAACTCATCATCCTACAAAACGTGGACATTTTTTTGAAAGCAACTGTTTATAGAGAAATTTAAATGTATTGTAGAATAATATTTGCAGTAAACACAAGGCCAAAGTCTTTTACATTTACCGTCATCTCGATGTCTGGTTCACTCTCCCTAGCATGGATCGTTGCAGTTTCCTAAATAAATCACAAAACAGAACACTTTGGACAACAAAAGACAGAATGACACTTCCTGTCTGCTCAACCAATCGGACTATTCCCTGTCGTATCTAATGCGGCTACTCTAACATCAGGGGACCCTATTTATGTCTACCGCCTTCCAGCCCACTTGTGAGGCATTACCAGCACTTCCTCATTTGCTCACCTCAAAAATGACCTGTTGCGGCCTCCAAGGTCATTCCACCAGCCCTTCTAACACCAGACATAGGCAAAGTCAATTACGACTAACTGCCGTCCCAATCGTGGCAGCAAGGTGGTACACCTGAGCCGCACAGTAGGAAGGAATTTATTGCGATTGGATGGATCGGTAGGTCCAGCATTAACTCATAAACTGCGAGGTTCTGGGAGCAAAACATACCACCAGTCTCCATGCCCTCCTACCAGGACACGAAGCGCCCACGTACTACTCAAGTGACCCTTTCAACTAATCCTACACAAAAGTACTAAAACAATACAGTTATCCTACACCTGCCCACATTATCCTACACCTTCAACGCTCTAGCCATATCAATTACCCCCCTTCTTTTGATTACATGACTAGATACAACCCGAAGGTCCAGACAACTGATAAGTAACATATAGCACGCATTTACAACGCCGCGGTCGAGACGACAGTGTACACATGTGACGGTGGTCAAGACCGCGCCAAATTTTTACGTCTGATGCATTATTCCATTCGGTAATTGCGTCAAGTTTGAGCCAAAGCTATATAACAACATATGTGATTTGAAAGCTGAGAAAAACGAAACCTTACAACATAGGAAAATTCCATAAAGGAAAAATGCGAAAAGAAACCATGTCACATGAAATATGTACTTACATCCTCATGTCTGATAGGGATCTGTAAGGAAACAAAGAACAAATTAAATGGTAACAGGCAAGCAGCTGGTACTAATAAGTCAGATATTTTACTGGTCAAAAGCCCTACCTCTGATAGAGCATCAGTGGTCTGAGAATCCTACAAAAAAGTGGACATTCTTTTTGAAATCAACAGTTTATAGAGAAATTTCAACGTATTGCAGAGTAATATTTGCAGTAAACACAAGGCCAAGGTCTTTTGCATTTACCGTCATCTCGACATCTGGTTCACTCTCTCTAGCATGGCTCGTTGCAGTTTCCCAAATAAATCACAAAATAAAACACTTTAGACGACAAAAGACAGAACGACACTTTTTGTGTGCTCAATCAATCGGATTATTCACTCCCGTATCAAGTGAGGCTATTCTAACACCAGAAGATCATATTTAGGCCTACCGCCTTCCAGCCCACTTGTGCGGCACTACCAACACTTCCTCATTTTCTCACCTCAAAAATGATCCGTTACGCCTTCCAAGGTCATTCCACCAGCTCCTCTAACACCAAACATAGGCAGACGCAATTACGACAAACTGCCGTCCTAACAGCAAGACGGTACAACTAAGGCTTGGAGTAGGAAGGAATCTACTGCGATTAGGGTCAGGGTAGTAGCAGTACTGCGTGTGTTCCATTTTCCTACATTTTCGATGTATCACATCAAGGTGACAAATCGCAAAATGCAATTAATCAACTTTACATCACTTAACTGGTGCAAACTTGGAAGCACCTTTAGTACCTTACAAGACGTTTACGTGAGGAATAAAGGTGTTTGATATTTCTTCGGTACCTCACTGCGATCGCTGAGTAGTATATACATGGAAACGTCTCGATATGAATGACTCGAAAATCACATGTCAATATAAGTAAACCCTTCCGGTGTTCGACATAAATTACTACAAATACGGGTTGGTGTATCTGTACTGTAACCCTAGGTGCTGTTTACAATGAGGACGAAACAATGCATTCATCGTAACCGACAAGATGGAAATTAAAACAATGCTTAAGGCATGATGATGTTCTGAAAGGTACGCTGAAGATCACAAGGTTGCTAAGATTTTTCCAAAAATTATGCTCATTTACGGTGATAATGCTGATCTCTTGAGAGGTGCTGGGAGCTTCAGCGTTCTCGAAGTGAATGCACAGTTGCGAAGTGTCCATCGTGCAGACTTTGCACATGATCAAATCGAAGAGTCGGACCAACTGTGTCGCTGTTGGTCGCTGACGCGGATCTTCTGCCATTCCACTGCAAGTGCAAAAGTTTCCATTAACTCTACTCTTTAATATGAATGCTTTTGGATAGATAAAAATGAAGGCATTCTCACCGATCAAAGAGACTTTGAAGAAATGGCGGACATGAACGGATCCTCACGGAGTGAGGATTCACCACTTGGTCCAATCTTCGTGTCAACATTTCCCAAATTGAAACTGTCATGCTGTATACATCCACTGACTTCGAATAACTGGCGAAGAACTTATCCTTGTGACCTTTGTTTTGGAAAAAGAAAGAAAAGTGCGTACACTTGAAGCTTTTTGTGAAAGCGGTGAGTGCATCACAAATATTCATATGTTCAGGTAATGCACCTACGGCAGATACCAAACAGCTCCTTGCCTTTGACAATGACAAAAAAGTCAAATTTGCGCCAAATTAAAGGAATAATTGGACTGGGAAACTCACTGCCCACATCGAAATCGGAAAACATACTTTTACACCTGGAATTGAAGCAAGCATCCAAACAGTGGAAATACGGAAACAAGGCCATTTCACCTAGCCATCATCACAATAAACCTACACAGCGATAATACCACATACTACATAACTCCAAGCCAAGCTTTGAATTGAGCGATTTCTGCATAGGCGATGAAGTGAACCAGACTCTCAGAAGGGTTAAAGCCTGTTTATATCATTCTCCACTGAAGCTGGTTTACATGTCATTTAAATCCGGAGATAGGCGTACACTACAAAGATGGGAAGGTTGTGAAGAATAGCAAATGCAGTTTAAACTATGAAATTTCGTCTTCTCATTTATAAAGTCGAAATCATAAATTTGATCGTATCATGCCCAACACTGGCCATTTGGTCCATTATTTCACACAACATCTTGGCACGTTCACCACCCTCCGCAGTTTAGATGTGTCAGTGTTTTCAATAATGACACCCATTTTCAAGGCTATTCAATCAAAAGTGACCTTATAAATGCAGTTTTTGTGAACTGGGAAAAAAATACGTCTTATTTTTGACGCTAAGGCTGGAAAATAAAACCGGAATTTCACATAAATGCTACGTTGGCAGGAAAAACGGTAATGTAAATCCAAGGCCTCCAGTTATTAATGCCAGTTTGGTTGATTATGCAGAGGGGGATGAGAGACACATCAACACTTACGCTGTTGTACCTCCGGTGCCATATAGAAAAGGGAGCCCTGGTTTACTGACTGCAATTCTTCCTTGCTCCTTTCAAAAATCTTTGAGCTGCCAAAATCGCTGATCTTGAGAGTGGTGCATCCGTCAAAGAGTAGCATGTTGGCGGGTTTTAAGTCACGATGGATAATTGGCTCAGCACGAGAGTGAAGGTAATCCAACCCATCTGCAAGATGCAGGGCCCAGAGCATTACGTGCCAAATGTTGTACTTGGCTTCCGAATAAATGACTAAAGAGAGGAGAGATTGATTTAGCTCCAAGAGAAGGAGGATGCTTACGCTCCTGCAGGGAGGCATCTGTTGCTTGCTCAATTACAACATAGCGAATGTCGGCCATTCGCGTGTTTGGACCGGCACCAATGAACTTGACGATGTTTGGGTGATTGCAGGTAGCAAGCGTGTAGGCTTCGCGGTAGTTGTATATGCGTTCAACAATCGTGTTCATGAATCTGAAATCCTTCTTCACTACCTTTTTACGCCGGTATGTTCCAAATGAGACATCCCCATAACTCCCTCCTGAAACGCCCTTAAAAAACGCAAAGAGCTCACTTCGTGGCCAGTCTATGCTTACAAATCTTCGTCTAAGAGATCAATTTGAAGTTTTAACTATAAAAGGTCATGTAGTCAGGTAAACGGGGACGTACCCACTTCTCTATTTGAATGGCGTCTTCCGGAATATTAGGCAATGATTTGACTCTTTCCACACAAACTGTTAATTCTTCGTTTTTTCTAAAATAGAACAAAATACAAGACATTGAAGAAACAAGAAAAGGAAGGGGAAGTGGAATTCCGGCAGTTACTAGTTGACAGGGAGCAAATTGTTGTAACGGTAAAAGAAACACTGCTGAACGTCTTAGATCGTCGCAAATAAACGGATTTCGTTCCCTACTATTTAGTTATAAAGGAACTTTATCTATTTGCTTTACAAAACCTAACCACACAGCATACTGACTGAAGCACACTACATAAGTTATCGTGTTTAGCCAAATAGCAGATATAACCCTTGAAAAGCATAACCACAAACAAAAGTATCAGTAATATTACAAGTGATGGAACCTTGACAGTTTACCATAAAAACAGGAGACTAGAAATGCAAGGCTTCATCAGTAAAAATATGGAGAACATGCAAATCCTTATGACACAAGGAAGGATTTCGACTCGCATTTATATAGCCACCTTGCCGAATGGCTTTAGACTTGTAGAATCGCCATGCTTATGCGATGTAAGCAAAACCCACATACATATCCAAACGACGTGCTACAGATAGAAATTCAGTTCAAATATGAAACACTACATCACAGGCAGCCAATAACTAAGACCTTGATCAAAATCATGATGTGACATCATATGGGGCTGGTAAAAAGCATACAATTGCCTCACGTTGCCCTTATCGCGAAGCATCTGTCAAACGTAATATCGGGAGGGACTTTGCGTATTTAAAACAACGGACCTACAATGCAATTTGATAAAGAATTAATCAAAAGGGAAATACTTTTAAGTATTTAAACTCAATGAATTTGCATAATTGGTTGCTAGGCTTTTGAAAATCAATCCCTAATGACATTAAGTAGCAAGCGATGAGCTTATAATTGTCGCGAAAGAGATGATGCGTTTATTTACCAAGACATCAGTATAAGTTATAAACATATGCCATATTAGCATAACAAATGCTTAAGATCAATACTTGAAACCTAGTCACAAGCCACCTCTAAATCTTCCTTAAAATATCCGAAATCACTGACATACAACCTACACAACCCTTTTTTATTTCGCGTGTCTTTTGGAGAATACGCAGATTTTTAGTGCGACCTGACCTGCTTATGTGCAGATTTCATTAACATCACTTCACCCTTGTATTCCTTCAGTTGAAGCACCTGCTTGATACAAATACCAAAAACCCAATACGTGTAGCATGATGACCACGAAGTTGCGAAATATAAATGTAAGATGCATTGACTCCTATTCGGCGTTCGGAACCTAGTTTTTCTAATCACTTTGATTAACACATTGTTTGCAGTTAAAACCGGCGATTTAAATACTGATTTTGTGAGAGTGGACATTATGCTTAGTGCTGATATTGAAGGAATAATTTCAATATTTGATGAAGTGCTTCAAGATACTCCGGTCCTAATGTGGGAGTATTTACGGTATCCGTTGATGCTTCTGCAATTGTTGTTTCATCTTGCAGCGGAGTATCAGTACCATTATTTTCGAATCAGAACTCACATGATGCCTGTCTTCAAACAAGCAGCTGTTGCGGGCGTACTTGTATCAAATAATAGGTATCAAAGTAAATTATCCTACTTGGTAAGTCGTAAAAATATGCTGATAAAAAATGTCTTCAGGTGATCTGATCGACAAGTACTTGCCCTAATTTGGGTGCACTCATTTAAATCCTTCCATGTTCCAGCAGCATCCACAAGGTACTCATCACACTTCCTTGATGTCGATAATTGTGATTAAGATATATTGACCAAGAAAAATAACATCTATAACTATGTGTTAACGAATGCATAGGAAAATTCCACACATGACGAAACAAATGTCAAATTAGTGTCTTTAGTTCCGCCCTACATGAGACGGAGTAACCGTCACAAAATCTTTGATAAGTCACATTGAATGGAGCGAAAGCTGATTGGAAAGCTCCGAGATCCAAGTTTTCATTTACTTGGACACTTTCAAATCCATCTTTATCGAACAGATTTAACTTTGCAACAGCTGCGTTATTTGGCTGATATCAACAAAATAAGCAGCAATTGAAATCCAGCTATTAATAGTGCGGAATGTGCTTCAGCGAAGCACAAACAAAAAGCCAAAAACAAACATATGCCTAATCCCACACATTGAATAAATCTTGCCCATTACACAGCCTCTACGAATGTCGAAGCGCTACCAATGGCGCACCAGCCAGCATATTGCAGACGACTTCGGCCAAGGCGTTGAACAAAGAAGCAGCTGACCTGAATCCATATTTACGCCCACCATTTGAGTGCGCTTCAGATGAACTCGGTTTTAGATTGAACTTTGCTTCAGTGATGGTGGATGTTCACACTGGGTGGGTAACGGCGGCAGAATCGTATCCTGGAAAATGAATCAAAGTGGGCGACTATTTAGTTCGTAGGACGCACTTCAAAATGTACTTTTTTCACGTTACTACACCGTTTACAGTTGAGCAACGTCCACATATTACGTGACATCACTGACTGTATTTTTCGTTGGATTAGGAAAGGAAGAAAGTGATGTCACGTCTAGCGGATCTGCCTTGACTTCCGCAACATCTAAAGTCGTACTTACTTGCATTACGGCAGTCCTTGCCTCAACTTTTGCGTGTCAGTGCAAATGACCAGTTTATTTTTCTGTGTAGAATAACGAGGCCAAAAACTGGCTTCTACTAGACCAGGCTTCCTCTACTACAGGTTACCGTGATGCAGGATAATCATAATCTACAATTAATTGGCAATTAAATGACCCGTTATAGGGGAAAATTTTTGAGGCATAAATACAGAACTGTGTCATGTTTACTCCATTCTTTGTTGTTTTCTGTTAGATCTCACTGGCTTGAAAGGAGCTTACACCAATGAGGCAAAATGAGCAAGACATTAAAAACTTGAATGGCCCAATTTGTTATCAGGCTTCTACTCTCATGCAAAGTAGGCTTTGCCAAAACAATAAGGCATCACTAAAGTTAAATAATCAACCGTCTCAGTGGTAGGGTTTGTTGAAGTAATATATCCTCTCGTAATGAAAAGTATTCAATTGGCCGTTGCTGCCAAATATCCTCAGCTCCACGTGCACAATGTATCCTGCTCGGAAAAATGTTGCTTCAATCTAGCATTCTCTAATCCCACATATTTGTGGTTTCACAGCACTTATATTCCCAGCAAAGTCAGTAGTCACATATTAACAGCAATGGCTCCGCCTCTGTTACATAGCCATGGCACATGGCTGAGGATCTGGCACAAAATCAGACATGGGAAAAATCCTCCAATCGCTTGCCTAAGAATTCATTACAACATGTAATGTAGTTATTAAATCAGAAACTCATCGAATTCAAAATACTTTTTAATAAACATCTTTCCAAAGGATTACCAATATATTATCTGTTTTAAATGATTCAATTTTGTTCAGACAGAATGATTGGTAAGTCTGGGGATGAGCAAATGTAGAATGAATCACAATGGGCTTCGAGATATTCCATGACAGATGGAGGTGGAGATATGATGTGTCTTATGTGAAATCAAAATTATCTCCCACTTTTGATCTATTATACCACACTGATGGTTTGCTGCCTAAACTTGCATTCAAGCACACATCCATGCATAATCTTCCTTGTTGTTTAGAGCACCGTACTGCACTCTCCTAATCGAGCCACATTTTATGCGCTTTGTGAATATTCTAAAGACTACAAATAGTATGAAACAAATCACATAAAGCTCACTAGGTAGTGCTAATGCTCCCCGTTTTCTACCGTATTCCTGTTTCTGTGCGCTTACAGCTGAATCTGCGGCACATCCGTGTAGTGAGTTGCGAATGTTTATATTTATGCGACCAACGTGCCTAAGACCCTGTATTGTCAGAAGGTATGGTGCAGTTAACTTAACGTCTTGGCGGCCTTGGGAAACCCAATGACAGACGCTATGCATGCCATCTTTAGTAGGCATCAAAATCAATAAGGTGTCAATCAAAATGAAATGAAATGCTGAGAAAAAGACCTCTTCTGCACTATGCACTCCATCCCTTGAGACAAGTGATTTTTATCTTTCCACCTAAGTTTAACAGCGTTTGGTCACGACATTCACAATAGCGCCAATATCAAAACCTTAATTCAAGATTTAGGACGCCTTTTCATCAAATTTTAGCCTTATTACTGAGCTATGATGACTTGTTGCTGCATATGAAAGATGTGCTGTCACGTTACTTTTACTCCCTTACTACATTACAACGAATCCTGTGTGATGTGCCTTATTTCTTAACTGTCATTCCTTGCATACCCTATTGCCGAACATGGATAACAGCATACGGTGGCATAAATAACAGGAAATGAAGTCAAAATGATAGACTGAATACGTACCCGAGCAGTAGGCAGCAAAAATGAGCACGGTGGAGGTTCATAACATGGCATCCATTCATAGCCGGCAAAATAACTTGCGTGCATTTATATGCGCTTCAGTTTAGCTTCATCAATGTGCTTGGCTTATTAAGCGAAATTGCAGACACTAATGTAAACGCAAGAGCTTTAATTTCACTTGAATATGTAACTTTTTTTACCAGAAATACTAACGTGCAAATCTAATGCTTGCAGAAAGTCTTTACAACTTTAGTGCTTACATACTTGCAGAGATGTTGGGTAGAAACAACTAGGTGTTCCCCTTGGCAAATTTGACTCAAGCAGCTGCATAAGTTTTATGATCGTGGTTAAGAAAAAGATATATAATAGATAAAATACTTGTTACCAAACATTTTCTTGGCCTTCATTTCGTCTAAAATCACGAGCCATCTGCAACAAGTGAAGTTTGATGAATGAATGAGGGATCATCATGCCCCGAAACACTTGCATATAATTAGTGTTATTGTAACCAATCTAGAAATACAAATCATTTTCTATTGATATGATCAGCTAACTGCTTTAGAACACCTCCAAGGCCATTAAATTTACGTAAGCATACTCATATAAATAAAAGTCACACACTACTAACCTGTCATTTGGTGGAATTTGCGCTATGGTAATACCGTCTTACCCCAAACTGAGCATAATTTTGCAGGCAGGTTTGAAATATGAATGACTGTTTTCCTCTGCTGGTCAACATTCCTGTTAGCAATCAAGTGCCATCTTGTTTGTTGCAATAACTCCTACCCAATTCACTCGATTTTTCAGCCACGATGAATGGAGCCTGGAAGTTACATGAGGTCAAAATTCCAAGGTACCTTGATATGTGCATAACAAATCCAGCAATTATCCAATTTACCCACATTCCTTCTAATACCACAATTGGAAAGCTGACACTTATCACTTTCATCTTCTTCCAATTACGGCCTGTCGACTTGTTTATGAGCTTTCGGATTTCTTGAAAGAGCAATTGTAACGACACCAGGGAGACATTTATCCATCTGGTACATGGGACTGAACAAGAGCCCCTGTGATTGGTGTGCGCCATGCGATGGTGCTTTTACAGGATCGACGACTTGATCAATTACTTTTTTGCATACTCGGCCTGAAATTTGTGATCCGGATCAGTCTGAGCGAGGTGTAGAGAAAACACGGAACACGAAGACGATCTCCGACGTACCGCCAGTGCCGTTCAAATTTACTAGCCGGATCAAAAAGTTGGATAGCCTTCGTGGTCTATTGGTCATTCATTCAAAGATCTCAAAATAATGCTAATTTAGGAATTCTTATGCTT